TAATCACAATGTGCATTGTGTGAACTAAAACCACAAACATTTTTTACATAGAAAAAAATATCTTGATGCATATACTGGACCTGGTAGATGAAAAAACTTAGTATTTGCCTAAATAGACGAAAAACCTACCCAGGCAATGCAGTTACAAGTACTCCTCATAAACTGACTTATGGATTAACATGCAACACTGGTGAAATTTGATACAAAATTGGCTACTCACCTTTTGCATGATTCCCTTTTCATAATAATAGCGAAGTGATCGGCTAAGTTTATCATAGTTCATAGCTGGCCTATTTTTCTGAATCCCCCAGCGACGTGCCACCTGCCACAAAAATGGATTAGCATTGATTTGTTAAATGCATTTAACAAGCAGATCTTATCATCAGATACTTTATTTGGGGAAGGAGGAGCAGGAACCCTGCAGGTACAACGAATAAACACAAGACAAAAGGTTGCCATGACCTGAATTTCCCATGTACTACTATGATTTTTAACTGGACACATAGTCATCCATTAAACTTGAAGCAGACTTACTTATTTGCAAATGTGATGGAGGGTTAGGGGGTTTTTGTTTGTTTTTAATAAAGAAAACCAATGAAAAAATGAAGCCATGTAAAGAGATGATGCCCAAAAAATATTTATGAAGTTCCACCAGAAAACTTTCATAAAAGATGAAAACTTTTCTTTAGTTTGATACTGTGGATAATTGTACTATTCCTATATTTTCCTTGCTGTCAGAACACTAAGTTATATTAAACACACATGCATACACACTTAGTTCATGAACTAATACAGACTGTATTTGGAATGACAGCGATGTTGAGATTATTAGGAGATACAAGTTAAAAGCCAACTCCCAGTCTTAAATATTACTTCAGCAAAGAAAATGAATTATCAGAAGAGGCAGGGTAATCACTTAGAAGAACTATATGGTAGTATAAAGAATGGGACAGAAACTTCATAGTTGCAGTTGTATAATTTCCCTTAAAAAATAATAATAAAAAGGAACTCGTGAAGCCATTCCATAGAGAACAATACGCCTTCTGCTCTGACTTATGATTTCTACTTGCCTTTACGCTTCCTGTTTTATTGCCAAAGGTAGTTCTGGACAAAGAGACCTTTTGTTTAAAGAGCTTAACTGCTTATTCCCCACCTGAAATTATAATCGGCTGTTGGTGACATTTCAATTACTGGCTGTACAAATGACTATCATGTCACCAGAGGGAAAAAAAGTCAGAGCTGATGAACTCTTTAAAGCACATTTTATAAAAATGTTTGAGAGGTACATGAGAGGTACATATGCATACAGCTCTGGAAAAAGAGAGAGTAGCCAAGCAGCTTCTCTGCAGACTGCTCTACGAAACTTTCCCATAGGTTTCTGGAGTCTTTTGATGCAAACCGTAGACAACATGCAGCACTGAGAATTGAAGGGGACTAAATAACAACTGCAAAATCCATGACTTTGATCTCCATCTGGACAATAATTTTTAAAATTTGTTTTTAAAGCAATATTTCCTTTCAGTGGTGCAGCTTTTCAGGCTTATGTAAATTATCATGGCTCTGCTAACTTCAGCTATGTTATAGCTGTATTGAAACATACCTCCAATCATGTCAATTTATTCCAGCTGTAGATTTGGCCTAGATGCATAACCTTGATTCGCCTATTCATCTTTGTAACACATGCCTACATCACTCTCTGTTTATTCCTGCCAAGTTTTTTTCTGCATTAATCAGTGTCCTAAAAGTCGCCAACATAACAGGCTTGCATAATAAATAAATACACAGCAAAGATAACTACAACAAAATAATGGCTGAGAATATTGTGTGGTATTTTGACGTTCCTAAATAAGCAAGCAGGTCCAGAAGTAGTCTTGGTAAGCGAGTCTTCCTGTCCCTGAACTGCACAGCATTTATCAACTCTTGCTCTGTGGAAGGGATTCAGGCTTCTAGCCTTCCACCCACCTTCCTCCTGAAGGTTACTGTCCCTGTGACAAGGCAGCATAAATGGACCTACACCCAATTCTTAGCCTCCACAGTTCACAGTTACCTACTTTCTGAATGAACTATGGTGCTCAAGGAGCTGATACATACTCATTTTTGTTGTCACCCTTTCCACAAGGGCATAAACCTCCAGAAAGGGATGGGATGTCATTGACATCCTAACCTGCCACAGCTGAACCAACAAGCTTTTTGACTTCCCTTCAATTTACACTTTGCAACCAACAGAAGTGTGCAACTTCCCATAGGCTATTCTTATTTTAATTGACAGTTTCTGTCAGATCCATGACATTCATATAAAAACAACTTAGGCTCCTTTGTACTCCCTAAGAGCACACAGGAGTGAGCAAGTTTCAAGTAGCCTGCCTCCTCCAGATCTCAGATGCAGTGCTGCTCAAAAACACAAAGCAACTGCTACAAAGTCGTCTGATGATCTGGTTAACTTAAATCAGAGTATCCAATTCTTCAGGGAATTACACAATAAGGAAACCTTAGGGTTTTGTTTTGCTAGTTTCCCTTCCTTAGCTAATAAAATCTATAAAGTTTTTGCACCATCTGCTGGAAACCATTTTCCAATAAATCTCTTCAATCTTGAAAAACTTTGGACATACCTTAAAGACAAGACAAAACTAAGAGGGTAAAAAATACTGAGACTGGGAGAGGGGGAAAAAATCAGATACCTCATTCACCAAAATCAAGCCAAAGCCTTTCCAAAGATTCCACTCTGTTCTGTGCCAGGCCACACAACTAAGAAGTCCACATAGCCTGCTACGGCCACAGACTTGCCAGCAAAGTTTCGGTATCAAATCGACTGAGACTGTTCTGTGGTCAAATCCTAAGATGCACAATGCCAGGATCTGCCACAGTGACTATTACTAGTGCGGGGAAAGCTCAGACAAACCAGAGCCAGCACACAGGTCCCTGAAGCAACCTGCCCCTCAGCCAGCCCATGTCAGGAAGGAAAGGGACATCAGTCCTGTCTCCATCCCCAGCTACTCTATCATCCCCTTAGGGCTGTTGGCAGATGATGTAACTTAAATGCAAGAAAGCTTTCAGATTGCTTATGCCAGCAGACGGATGGCAAAGGGCAGAAATAGCTGGTAGAACGTAGAAGCAGCCTTACACCCCTGAAGCTTCCTACTCAGCTCTAACTCAGAGGGGATCCTGATGGAAAATTTGCTGCGGTCTCCTCTATTACCCAACCCTGTCCAAGGGGCAAAAAAGTAAACCAGGATGATACTGCTTTTTGACAACCCCAACCAAATCATCCACATTAGTATTACAATAAAATTCAGGCACAACAGATTTTCTAACAGTTTCCATGGCTGTTTAGAAAACAGGATAGATTATTTAATGTTACCTACTCAAAAAAAGTTTACGTAATAAATGTTCTATTTATTCCTGTTTATCACATAAGTGAACTAAGTCATATTTCAGCAAATGTTCATGCATACAAGTAATTTTATCTACCCCACGAGTCCTTCGTGGTTCAGGGGAGCTGTGCATTTGCATGAGCGCTTGCAAGCCTAGGACTTAAGCGTGCACTGAACAATCTAACAACACAGATAAGCTGGAAGACTCTGAAGACAACTCTAAAAAGAGGGGGGTTTATATAATTTTGATGGGATTTTACTGCCTAACGTTCTTAACCTCCTCTTTTGCCATCTGTTAGACTTGGGGTCTTTCACTCTACAGCCTAAAAGTTCTAAGTTCCCACATCTTCACACTGAAGAATATTTGGTGTTGAAAGACTATTCAGGGACAAGTTTTCAAAGGATTTTGGAACACAGCTCTATCCATGAAGCGGTTCTGAAAAATCTGGGCCCCACGATTAACGCTGAGTATTTTGTAACTCTAGTACTTGCAATATTTTTATTATTTTGTGGGACTAGGAATTAAGTCTACACTTAACCACACCTCTGTCCTAACCGAAGCACTTCCCTTGCCAGTCCTTTCTGTCACCCTTCTAAAGTCCTACTGAAGCAAAATATTGAAGGAAAATAAGGCCTAAATCCAAAGGAGCACTATTAAATTTGCAGGACAGGGCACTGGATGTCAGGGCATGCTGTCCGTCTAACCCACCTCCTCTGGCTCAATCAGTTTGAATTCCATGCCTCGGCCAGTCCACGCTATGAAGTGAGAGTTTGATGGGTCATCAAGAAGAGCTACCAAGAACTGCCACAGCTGAAGCGAGCCTCGTCGTTGATACGTTGGTCCCTCACGGTACATGCCTGGCTCCTGTTTGACATCACCTGCGCAGAATAGCAACAACATTAGATGAGCAATGTGCAAAAAGCATCATCACTCAGTTTGTCAGATAAACCAGCAAAGCAATCATTAGGGTTAATAAAGGGAGGGAAAGAATTCTTACTACCCAGCCACCCAAAAATGCAACACTCCCCTGCCGGCTGCTAATTGTAAACACTCTTACAATTACATACTCATATACTAAAAAGTACCTAAATTCAGTCATGATTTATGGAAGTCTCCCTAAGCCCTATTCCCATTTACTTCTGATACATGCAAATCTAACTTGCAAACCATTTTGCAATATCCTCTATCTGAAAGAGCATGAACTATTTTTGTAAGCAACCCCGATGTCTGAAGAAGAACCGCATTTGTGTACTATACTTTGCACAGCCCCAGTTTTGGAAATGTAATGTATGCTTCATAAAGCTGCAAAACCCTATTGAGTGAAACTTCTTTTGCATGCAAATGCTTCTAAGGAAAATTTGACAAAGTATTTGACTTGGACTTAAACAGCATGTGCTTTATGTATAGGTATGCAAATCCTGCAGATATGCAAGTTCCTCTGTGGCATACTGGACTTGCATATAAGCACATATTAGTTTTACTCATATCTACATATTAGATTAGTATTCCCCCTGAAAAGCAGTAAGTTAATTTTTCTAAAATTTCAAGTCCAGAGGAGCTTTTAAAAAACAAAAATCACAATATTCTGCTAGCTGTTCCACAAACTGCCAATGAAAAACCATCCTGCGCCATCCACACTGTGTCTCTGTTGTTTTTAAATCATATTCAAACTGAACAACTCATGCAAACAACAACAGCTGAAAGGTCTGATGCTGAAGCAGAGAATATTTTTTCTACACACGATGACAGCAGTCCTTGATATGCTGGTAAAACTCCTCATTTCAACTACCAGGAAGGAATACCCTCCAATAAGCACTGTGACCTGTTTAATACAGAAAGCCAGGACTTTACATTCAGCCACAACATTAGGATGCTCTGATGCCCTTTACAGAACGGCTCCGTGTAGTGAAAATAAGAAGAATAATACTAAAAATGGAGCACTTCCTTTTGTAATCAGGAAAGAAAATTGAGTCGATAGCTGTGCAAAACAAATAAATCAACACAAGGCTTTTTGGTTTATGTGAGGTTCAAGTTCCAGTCCTGAAAGGCCGCCTTTTTCAAGGACGGGATTTTTCTTTTAATGATAGCTAAGCAATGTGCAAATAGCAAGTGCAGTATTAGAGAGGATCAGATTCTTTGCCTGTGCCGATCTTTGATTTCAAACAAAGCAGCTGAGAATCTACTTCTGAAACATCAAGACTAGTCCTGGGCTTATCCCACTTTTGCTTTAGTGGTCAAAGCATGACGACACATCTGCTATTTTTTCCTCAAAAGTCATCATGCTACAAGTATAAACACACCTATTTGTATCACAACATCAGTCTTCTAGAGTACAAAGTGTTCTCTCACTGGACAGTGCTAGCAGCAGACTGCTTGCTTTGCAAGCACACAAATATTTCCAAACATTTTTTTCTTTTACTTTATTTGTATTTCTTTTCTGTTTTCATTCCCTTCCCTGTACAAAACCCAAACAAACAAAAAGGATTTTCAAGAAAGACATAGACAAACGCTAGTCCTGAAGAGTTTTAACTTCTTGTAGAGTACAGGGTCGTATCCCATTCCCATAAATGTAAATATGAATTTGACACTGATACTGAAAACAGATCAGGTCCACAATTGTTTTTGGGGAAGAAAAAAACCTGACACGATGTGTTTTAAAAAGGGAAAAAAAAAAACCCCATACATTCCAAAGCCGGGCTACAAAGTAGACTTTCAATAAATCACCCTTTCAGTGAATGTGTCAATCCAGTGACAATGCAATACTGGATCGAGCAATCTTCAGTTAGGTCTAATATTATTTAAAATTCTCTATTTATTTCTTGCTATTCCTTACCAGCCCTGGAATGCATGTGATACCTCCTTTTGAGGAATGTGTAATTCTTTGGGTTACTTATATTTTAGAGTCTCCCATTCTTCAGCAAACACACAAATGCTGCTAGACACGCAATAGTTTTGTAATCCATATAAGTGATTCTCAGGGGAAAACACACAAAATAAAGCAGGAGAAAAACCCCAAGAGTCCTCCAGCTCTACTTTTAGCTATGGTCAGAGAGCTGTTTACAAATTTATTAGAAAGTATCTAATCTTTCCTGTTAAAATAAATAAAGCTGGACATACATACACTAACATAAAGAAGCCACTCTAGCAAATTTAAGTAATTGGTCTCCAAATTACTTGCCAAAGTTGCAGACTAACAGAGTCACCAGCAAGAAATACTGAGTCCATCTACTTTGTCTATAATGAAATAAATCTGAAATCAACTGAGTTACACCAGGAAACTGATTTTACATCAGAGTAACTGAGGATAATTTGGGCCATTTATTTTAATTGACCTCAGAATCCCTCTCGGAAAAAAAAATCTGTTGTAATGGGTAGTGTTGTGAAAAGATCATTGATTTGTTATCAATCCCACTGAAAAATAAACCACTAGTACAATGTTTAACGTAGTGCAAATACACTGCCACAAACAGAAAAATGCCCTATACACTGACTCCCCACTATTCATCACTTCACAGACAATGAGACAAGAAGCTTAATCCTCAGTAACACAAAAGCTGCTGCTTTCTCCATCATTTTGTTAATTATAAGAACAGCTTTCATTAAATCTCAAACAACAAGCGGTATGTGATCATCAGTGCAATGGAAATCCTCCTATTACTTCTCAACAGTACAGCAACCGAGCTCCTCTGCCACAACTGTGGATGCAGCATCTTTCGCTGGCAAAAGTCGAACGACATCCTTTTGAAAAGGAGACTTTGGTTTCGAGAGACAAAGGTCAGCTTTGGTTGGGTGCACCGCAAATGGTGTGTAAGGAATCCTAAATTGGAACGTTACCAAGCTGTTTTGATCAGCAACAGAGAAAAGTCCCTCATCTCTTCCTTTTTCATCTCCCCATACAAGAAAAAGAGAGAGAGATGTGTCATACATACCGTCAAACTTCTCTGGAACAACGCAAGTGTCATCATAAAACTGCCGAGGTCCCTTTTCATACATACAGCCTGTAAGTTAAAAAGAGAGAGGTGTTTATATAAGAGATGCATGGAGAAAGAAGAGATCATAGGCTTAACGCCAGAGGGAACACTAAGTCATAGAGGAATCAGATTAATATCCCACATCCTTTACACACCGCCCAATGGCAACCTTTTGGCCTCAGAACAGGAGTGTTTAATTAATGTGTGCATTCCCAAAAGACTGTTAATCTCCACCTGCGAAAATGAAAAAGCACCCATTTTTCTCTATCATTTATTCCAAAATGTTTGTCTCATTTCCTGTTTGAACTAGCATGGCTTTGACTTTTAGCCATTAGTTCCTGCGGGTCTTCTCCCTTCGAGACTAAAAATGCCCTACTCGGTATTTCCTCCCCATATTCACAGAAGTCACCCCCTTGATGTTTCTTCCAATTAAGATCATTCTGTGAAATTTAATTTTTGCTGTTAAAAGACACCCTCTGCAACCCTGTATTCTTTCTAGCACTCTCTTCTGTACACACTCCTAACTTTTCAGTATCATTTTAATGTTTTGCTTAACCAGAACTGTCTTGCATGCCAGTATCAGCCTCACCAGTGCTACTTAGCGAGACAAAACATCTCCTCCTCTCCTGACTCCCTATGGCCCTCCTTTTGACTGTGCAAATATTACAGAAGGCCTTTTTGCCATACGGTTGCAATGTTTGGTCGGGCTGGTTTCCCACTGTGAAGCCGAGGAGGAGGCGGTCCATCTCAAAATCATTTTTTCCAATATACTGTTTCCCGGTTCCATAAGCCTGGCCTACATTCAGCGTATTAAAAAAACATTTTGTCTAATGTGCCCAGATTACCAAACAATTCAAATTGCTTTGTGTGACTGCCCTGTCCTACCTGTTATTTACCACTCTGCCTATCTTTGTGCCATAAAGTTATCTATTAACTTTGTTCCGTATCTTTACTGAAAATGTTGAATAGCAACATTCCTGATATCAATTCCTACAGAACTATAATAGAAACAATCCATTCAGAGATGATTGCCCAGTGACAGCCACTTTTAGATCTGTCAGTTGGCCAGGTCCTAATGTATTTAATGTGTACTTTATTGATACAGCTTTGTGCTAACTTCTTAATCAGAATGTAATGCAGTGGCAAATTGAATGCCATAAAAAGTCTAACTATATGATACAAGTATCTTTATCAAACTTTTAATCTCAACAAAGAATAGAATCAGATTTGATATGACCTTTATTCCATAAAATCATGTTGACTGATTTCCAAATACAGAAAACAAATATTTATCGAACATCGCTGCTTTTTGCTATGTCATTCATAACAATTTTACCACCTCCAAGTACTTATGAGTGCATAACATGGCTAAGATTGTTTTTCCCCTATCTAACTGTGATTAAAACTCAAATCTGTGGACCCTAGCCCTGCAGTTTGTGGATTTTTCCCTGATGTCTTTCACTCCCTTATCAAACTTCTGTAACTCATATAATTTCATATACCAAGACTGTTATAAATTTCCATCTCCTGCTTGTTAAATACTACCTTTTATTTCTATTTCTGCCTTTATTCCACCCCAGAAGCAGTTGGGCTTTTAGCCAGATTTGTTATCTTTCCAGTTGTGTCTTTTCACTAGTGAATGAAGTCTTACTAGAGGACTTTGATTCATACATCTGTCTGCATTCTCATCAATCTCAAAAACAAATTTCCCTCATGTTTGTGAAATTTGTCCCTTGGAAGAAAAACAAATAAACCCTAAACAAACAACAACAACAACAAAATCATATGTTGACAAGAAAGATACACCAAAGCAGGAGAGTGGAGTGTACAACCTCTCTTTCAGCGGTCATTTTTTCTTAGTTCTGTTGGCGTTCTTATTTTTAATACATATAAAGTGCTTTTACTCAGAATTATTAATTTTGACAATGAACTAAGCTCTGCCCTACTGAAGTCACTGAGAGTTTTGGTATATATCATATGGCTGTACAATTTGGGCCTAAGGAGCACCAAAACATTACAAAAATCGTAACAAAAGGAAAAGCCAAAAACCTTCACTGAAAACTTTTTGAAGTATAAAATGGATTACTTTACAGTTAACTGAGCCTGTCACACCAATAGCCTGGAAAATACCACTTGAGCAGAATGGGTGAAATTTTTAAGCGTCTCTTCCTTTGAACTGCTAGAGGCCTTGAAAAGCAGAATGAGTAAATTCATAATAAAATTGCTTCTATCCTGATCAACCTGTGGCACTAAAAGAAGCTACAAAAAAATCAGTGCATCAGAAACTCAAGACTGGGAAGAGAAAGAAAGATGATGCGAGTCTTCCCAGCAGCAGAATTAAACCAGTGAACCCCAAACCCCTCCAGGCTTTTAAATTTTTTACGATTCTCTCGTACAAAAGCGATACATAATAGAAAACTTAACTTCTGTTCTGTTTGGGTGAGCCAGGAAGCCTTCTTGCCTCATGTAAATGGAATGGCAGCTAGGCACTTCTGAAAGGAGAAGACGACAATGCTAGTCACAAGACTGTCTGGAATTAAAAGTGTGCAGGTTACCAATGAGACAGGCTGCAGGCAGAAGAGCAACAAAAAGGATGCAAGTTACAGCGAGGGAGAACCTGTCAACACACAGTTAGCATTTCAGAGCAGCATGCTCAAGGCATGGCAGAGGAGAAAATCATCATGTGAGGATCATAGATGCCATCTAACATAAGCACTTGAATTCAAACCTTTATTGTAATCAACTTTGCTAAAAGCTGACTCCCATGACAATTATACTTTGGACTATTCACAGACGAAAAATCCACAGTATGAATATTTTAAACCCTGTGCTTGTATGTCTACCTTTGTAACTAATTCGAAGTAACATTTTTAATCAATTACACAGAAAAGCCTGCCAATCACACTGGAGACTTATAAACTCTACATTAATACAAGGAACGTCAGAGTGAATTTAGAGTAGGATATTGCTTTTTAGACTCTGATTAAGGATTTGAAGGGTTAATGAAAATTTCTGCGATTGCTAAGCACTAAACTAGGAGTTCCGATGCATCAATTTCACCCTCTACCTGTACACCCCCAACCAAAAAAGAACCCCCCTCAAAAGAAAAAAAAGAAAGTAGTGCTCACATTCTAAGTAACACAGACATCTATTTGCCATTCCCCACCTCTACTCAAATCTGCAAGAATGAGAAAAACCAAACAGAACTAATGAAAATGGTGTTCTTTAAATGTTTTTCTATTTTTTTCCTGTGTCTTGCACGGTCCCCAAGAAGCCACATCCTGTGCACAGGGACTTGCAAACAGAAATACACCATAAATGTTTGCCCTTCTAGACCATGTTTAACCCACTTCTTGGATATCAAAAGTCTTGCTTAACAAAGTCTATTTGATCTTGTGATAAACTCCTACCCTAAGCTATGCAATCCATTACCATTAACTTGTAACTCTTTAAGAGATGCAAACAGAGGTCGAAAGAGCAGACACTATTTTTCCAACACTGCCTGCAGACTCTTTCAGACTGTGATTCCAAATTTCACTGTTCACTGACTAGTGATGAGTATCAAAGATTTGGCAGGATAAGAAAATGAGGTTTTACACTGACTTCACAAAACAAGTGAAACACAGGGCAGTAATAGTAAGTTTCCTCTAACAGTCCATGGTCTCTCTTGCACATCTGTGCTGAACTCTTCACTACCTCCTCTCTCGATGAAACGCTCAGTGCCTGCCTGCTCAGGCCTCGAGAATCTCTAACGTCTCGGGCAGCTATTCTGAACAACCACAGGAATCAGTGATTCAGTGATCACCCGAGTCAAGTATAGCTCTGTAGACTAGAAGTTAAAGCTACAAGTAGTGGTCCACCTGCAAGGAATCACTCATGTTACCAAACAGATTGGATTTTAAGGAGAACGGAAAAATCTACGTAAAAAAAAGAGGAAGCTGGAGAACTGAAACAGATGCTATTTTCTATTTTAGGTAAAAATTCACTAGTACTGGCAGCAAAACCCTTTTTGACTCATGAACTCCACTCTTGCAAAGTGATACAGCAGAGTATACAGAATAAAGAATTATGCACGCATCCAAGAAGTTGTGTTCTTAGCCAATTTGGGGTTTCATCTCCCATGCTCCTAAGTCAATTATAATTAACATCTGGAGTCTTTTTAAGGCGAGCATTGTTTGTACCAACATTACTTAATCTTCTGGTTAGCTTGTGCTTAAACAGTCCACAGAGAACCGAAAAATACAGCAAGGAAGAGTTTATTTCTCGTAAAGTAACTACAGCCTTGTTATCCTAAAGTGCTATCAGTTAATTTATGACTATCAGAGTGGGTCAGACTCTAATCAAATTGTAGAAACATTTCCAAAGTGATTATTCAATCAAATGACTAACATGGTTAATTAGGAGCCATAAACATTGCTCTGAAGTTCATCAAAGTAATGACTTGCCCAGAAAAATTACTGCTAATTAAATTGCCTGCTGCTTTCATTTCTACCTTATCTAATAAAAAGTCCAACCAATGAAATTTAGCATTGCAGTTTTAAATTGTACTAAATGCTTGACTAAGACCCAGAAGTATTTTTACTAGCTAAGCGGAGCTACTTCAAAAGAAAACATTTTAGTGCAGAAATTACAGAGCAATTATATGTTTTCTTCTCCTTAAAGCATTGTTTCAAGACAACAAATAAGACAGAATTAGGCATGAAATACTTCCAGGGCACGATCCAAGTGTTTGAGGTGACTGATTCTATCACCTTTTAGCAATTTCTAGTCTTTGAAGAAAAATGTGCCTGGATTTAGGACACACAACAAGCTTATTTCAGACTTTTAATGAAGTAATTCACATTGTAAAGTTACATCATCTCAAGAACAGCAGAGTCCCTTTAAAAAAAAACCAAAATAACTAAAAATATGGAGACATAAAAAAATTAATTTATCTTTTATTATTAATTTGGAATACCTAGAGTTCATTCTTCATTGATCCTCTTGCTAAAAGCAACATAGCAGTCATCTTAAAACAATGAA